AACGGGTGCACCACCGAGATAGCTCACCGAGAGAATCGGGATCATACACCGGTGTACAGTGTACTCGAGTGGCCACCGTGCATACCGGAACGAACAGAACGCTCTCTGTTCGACACTGTTCTTGGCCGACATGACTGGCATATTACTAAAGTGGACTTGGCCATTAGCACGCGTACGCGCCACTGATAACGATGGGGTGGAGAAGCTGCACGTAGAAGATGGACTCTGGAATCGGGAAACCGTGTACACCGGTGCACTGCCCCCGTTCACAAGGCGAATGGGCAGCTCCTTCGTCCGACAGCGCATAGCATGCGCAGCCACCGCTACCGGTATGAGTGCGCGTGTGCCAACCATCCGTTGCGATGCCTCGTTGGTCCATCGACGTCAAGGCTCGTCCCACTCTCCGCCTCAACGTCGTCGTCGCCATCTGCGGCATGTTTATGCTACACCCAGGACCGACCCGATACCCAAGTCGAGTCACGACCGCTCATGAGCCGCGCACCGTCATTTTCGCCTACCAATGGCGGCCGCTTCAAGATTCCAATCCGACATCTTCGCCAGCATCGAGAACGGCAACGGCTTACAGCACACTTCGCCGGCCATCGTGAGAGGAAGGACACGCCATCGACCGTGTCGTGATAGGAAGGACACGCCATCCAGCGCGCGACGGCACGTGCGTGCTACCCAGCGACGACAAAGACAAGTGATGCCTGGACGAGAGCACTAGCTTTAGCTCTAGCTTTCCTGGATAACGCCATGGCGCGAAAAACGGCTCGTTAGTCACGCGAGACAACTCCCGTCGCCATCGCCGCTGTACCAGTGTACCCACGGTGCTTGGTTGTCCCAGGTCCACTCAAACAAGACGTTCGTCGGGAAGGCGAGCGTCCGGTTTTTTCTTAAGGAACTTTATGTTGTCTTCGCCCATGTGCTTTTGGTGCCACCTGGATGATCCGGCACACACCTTGGGGTAGTCACGACGGTTGTGGCACCAAGCCTTCCCGACGAGTCGTCGCCGCCCGACGCACCGAGGAGACGCACGCGAGCCGCTGTCCTATTCCCCTCGTTGTTTCGCAAGACAGCCCGAGTACGTTGAGATCACTGGTTCATGTTTGATGCGTCGCTTTGAGGTCAGGCCTGTCTCTCGACGCAGCCATTTCGCACCAGCTGGTAGCTCGCCCACTTTGCCGTTTGGTTTGCTTGGCCAGAGAGCATCATCACTTTCCAACTTGCCACGATGAGCATCACTGGCATGCTCTCGCCCGAAGCGCGGCGCCAGCTCACGAACGCAGCGTATGGCCAGGTCATCTCGCTCCTTCTCGTCATCACGTCCGTGTTTACGCGGTACCTGAACGATGCCAACGCATCGCTCCCGACGTTCCAGACGCTCTTCCTCTACGGTGGCCTCACGGTCACGTACCTCGTCTACCACGTCGTGGCCAAGCGCCCGCGCGTGGACCTGCCGTGGTGGTACTGGGCGATCCTCGGCCTCGTCGACGTCGAAGGCAACTACTGTGTCGTGCTCGCCTTCCGCGGCCTCTCCAACTTTGCGGTCATGGGCCTCGTCGTGCACATGACGATTCCGTTTGTGACGATCTTGAGTTTCCTCTTCCTCCGCCGCAAGTACCTCCCCGTCCACATCATTGGCTGCATCCTCGCCATTGCCGGCTGCACGCTCATCTTCCTCGCGACGACGCAGGACGGCGACTACCCGGACCAGGTCAAGAGCAACTTGTATGCGCTGCTCGGCTCGCTCGGCTACGCGGTCTCGAACCTCCTCAACGAGTATGCGGTCAAGAAGGGCGGCATTGACGCCAACATTGAGTGCCTCGGCATGATTGGTATCTGGGGCCTCGTCATCTCCATCATCCAGTTTTACTGCCTCGAATACGACCAGTTCAAGGCCGTCGACTGGGACGGCGCCACGATCGGCTATACCTTTGGCTACGTCCTCACCATGTATGTCTTCTACACGGTCGTCTCGGTCTTCCTCCGCGTCACGGAGGCGCTCATGTTCAACCTCTCGATGCTCACGTCCGACTTGTACGCGGCGCTCCTCATTCGCTGGATCTTTGGCAACATCGTCCCGACCTTGTACTGGCCCGCGTGGGGGCTCGAGGTCGTCGGTATCGTCCTCTACTCGCTCCGCGAGCCGATCCAGCTCCGCCGCGACGACCCCAACTGGTGGCTTAACAAGGTCTGGAACGCCATTGCACTCCGCCTTGGCCTCCCCATCAAGATGCCGGTCGATTCGCCTGCCCTGTACATCGACACGCCGACCAAGAAGGACAGCTACGTCGAGCAGCTCGCATGATGGAATGTAAGATCAACAACTTAGCTGTCTGTAGTCGATTCTGTTTTCCTCCACTACACTATTGTCGTTCGCCGTCACGCAGTCGATTAGCTCAGCGGACGATAGCAGTTTGCCTCGATGGCTTCGTCCCATCCTTGCCTCTGCATTGGACGTTACCGTGCAGCCACCTACCGGTCATGCCCACCGGTAGCCCACGCAGCAAGCTGTGCTACCGACTGGCGGCTACCTGTCGTCCGTCGAAAAACCATGTTCTGAGACGGCTTGGCATTACCGCCAACGAACTGCACGTGGAATCGCATGCAACTATTCGACACTCCTTTACGCGATTCTCGACGGTCTACCCTCCCTGCCCGTGTTCTAGATAGTTGGTAGTGGTGTACAGCGACTGGGAATACGCCGACTAGAATCGTGCCAGAAGGAGCAGGGTCGGTCTGGTGGAGCAAGTGGACTCACAATGCTCGATTCCTTCCCAGCCAAGTACCATTTCTGTGACCCGGTGTATGGTATGGTGATCCCCATATCGCCTGGCACAGGTCTGCCGTGGTCACTGCGTCCAGACCGACACCAAGTACGAGGAAGGGACTGGAAATGCAGGGTCCGAGGCGACTAGCAAGACTGCTGTGCATGCACAAGGTGGGTCGTGTTGGTGGTACAAGAGGTCGGTGGCGGTTGTCATCGTGGCCGCCTTACAGATCCCGTAACCGCTTGGCGACCTCGGTGAAGGATTTGAGCACCTTGAGCCCGCCCTTCTCGGCCTTGTCGCTGTCAATCTTTTGGGCACTGAGGAGGGACGTCTTGAGGTCCTTGAGAAGTGGGCAGTCGGCGCCTTCGTGGCGCTCGAGCACTTGCATCTGGTTCTTGTACGCCTATCAACCATGCTATCACGAGGCTGCATTGGCTGCGTGGCAGCCTACCACGACGAGCAGCTCCTGGACTTCTTTCGCCGGCATCGCAAAGAACGTCATAAACGTCGGCTTCCCGCCGCTGTTGCGCTTGTCGACGATCGAGCCCATGTTGTCACCCTGCATACGCATCGTAAGCTCAAGGAGACAAGATATGGATGTACCTTGACGCTAATGAACGCGCCCGTAAAGCCGTCCAACGGCTGCAAGTCAGCCGTCTCTTCGTAGTTGGAGTCTTTCGGCGGCCAATCGAGCGCATACCACCACCTACATGTAGCATGATGAGCCATTGGCAAGCGTGGCGCTGTCCTACCTGCAGAGAAGCTCCTGGACGAGCCGTCCCTTGAGTGTGTCGTAGAGTGCTTCGGAGCATTCCTGCTGCTTGAACGCAATGTGTGCGACCTTGCGCGTCGACTTGGTCGAAGCCGCAAGCGTCCGCTTCTCGATCTTGACATCGGCCTCCTTCTTGACCTTCTTGGAGCCATTCGCTTCCTTCTTGACTTTGGGCTCGGCCTTGACCTTGGGCTCGGCCTTGATCTTGGGTTCGCTCTTGACCGTGGGCTTCTTCTTGAACGCAGAGATCGGTTGGTCGTCGTCCTCGCTGCTGCTGCTACTGCTCTTCTTGACCTTCTTCATCGTCATGAGCGGCTTGTCCTCGTCCGAGTCCGTGTCATCGTCGACGATCTGCCGCTTCATGCTCGGCTTGGCCGGCTGCTCGCGGAGCTTGGAGAGAGGTACGTCTTCGTCGCTGTCCCTATGCATGTACACGCGTCAACCTCGACCCTCGCTTCCATGCTCCTACGTCGAGCTCATGGCGGCGCCAACGGTGGAAATGTGTGGAGTCGATTTTAGCTCAAGGGACACCTCTCACATGCAATATCCATTTCTGCAGGTCTCCAGCCGACAAAAAGCTAGAACTTTGTATACCATAGTCAACTCAGATTTGACCAATGCGTATCTCTATCAATGTATTAAATACATTGTTACAGATAAAACGTGGCACGCTGCACACGCACGGATCTTGAAACACGCAACCTGGAGGGCCTCCAAGGCCTACAGCACGAGCTGCGCCATGGCCATCAGCAGTCATCGCACCATTGCCCTCACTACTTCGTGCGGCACAACATGTGCGCCGAGTCGGCGCAATTAGTGCATCGAGGACGAGAACGACGACGCTTCCCGCGTCACGCTCGGTCGTCGCTTGTGCAACGCAAGGCGCTCCTTGGCGTGACAACGGTAATATGCTATCAAAAACATGCCAATACCACTCCATCAAGGCCTCAAACGACGAAGCATGTAGGTTGACTACCGCCGACGTCGCGCTCTATAAGCGCTGTGCCTGCACCCCGCTGAGTGAGATCCTTGTACGCCAGCACTGGCGCCTGCTGGTCCACGTGCTGCGCCTGAAGGATGGCGTCTCTCGTAACGTTGCCAATGTTCGTTTCTTTCCCCGCCCGAGGTGCCCTGTATTTCAGGCCGTACCAAGATCACGTTGCCGATGGTCCGGCACCGCGACAGCAGTTGCTGACGCCGCCTCCGTCGCAGCCGTCTCTCGGGAACCGCATCAAACTGCATGCCTCTGCCGCTGATCGCGATGCCTAAAAGGACTTTACGCAGCGAGTCGTCGTGTGCCTCTCTCGCGGCTGCAAGCGCCCCCTACAGAAGAGCAAGCAGCGCCGCCACCAGCACTACTGGCCAGCGAGCGAATGAAGAAGGTGATTGCTTCGTAGTATGCGACGTTTGTGCAAGAATGAAGCTAACGCGAAGCACGTTGATGTACACGCGTACTAGTGATCTGTCACGTCTTGGAGCTCGAGTGGCTCCACAGCGGCTGCTGGTCGCGTCGTCGTCGCCTGCGCAGTATCGTGCGGCACCACACGTGTCTTGGGCTGCCGCTCTCTTGACATGGACTCGTTCGACGAAAGCCACATTTGCCGCAAGCGGCCCGGTGACTTGGGCTGCGCGCCGTGCAGCTGGATGAGCTCTCGCACGCGCCGCGACCGGACATTCTGCCACAGTTCGCTGCTTGGACGTCGACGTCGATGGTGGTTGGCCGCCTCGTTTCCTACGTTATTTTGTTTGAAAATCGGTGTTTCATTTTGGATAGAGTAGTAGTACGCTGGCGGACATGCGCGAAAAAGAAGATTTTACGCTCGTCTTCCGAGAGCGACTGGTGCCGCTTGGCATGGCAGTGGTAGTACACTGCCAGAAGCATTGCTGTAGCGACGGCGACGAGCGATAGAAAGAGGCTGTCATCTTGACAAACCAAGAGCGAGATCCAGCAAAGACCGAACACACAAATGGCGTAGACACCTGCCGGGCGGCCCAGTGGCGACACGAACGGGCGCTTGAGCCCTGGAAACTTGGCGCGGAGGTATACACACCCGTACGCGTGGGCCATGTATGTCGGCATCGCAAAGAGAAAAGACACATGGTATATAACAAACTAGCAGCTGGGCTAGTGGAGCACAAGACAGAGGAAAAGAGGAAGAGGAAGAAAAGATGGGACCACTCAAAGGCGCACGTGGACGTGCGCAGTCGGGCGGCGGAATCGAAGAGTGAAGCCAACGGCTCCACACGACCCGACCCGTGATATCTTATATTACGAGAGGGGCACGCTAGCTGCGACACAAACTCCTCAGTGGCAAAACCCTCATACTTGATATGAGGGGAAAAAGCCTACTGACGGTGGAAACAGCCAATGACGTGGCAGAGGCCGGAGAAAACCACCGAAAACCAACGAAGAGTCGGACGTCTTCGAGTCGGCGATCCCAACGTTTGCAGTTGCGATCTTGACAGCCTCCCCAAGTGCAAATGTGGGGGAAGCCGGCTCGTAGGTACGAGGCTGAGTGATGAGGACCATGAGGTCCACAAACTGTCACACGTGTGGTGACTGCTCCCATGCGTAATGGGGCAGAAAAGATGACTCGTCAAAACCGTGGGACCACCAGCCTCCCTGGAGAACATGGTGTCGAGGCACGGAGGTCGAGAGACCAAGAGACGGAAAAGAAAAGAGAAAAACACAGAGCACAGAGGTGACCCAGAGATGGTGTCACAGGAAGGACGCACAGACATATAGGCAGACCAACGCATGAAGCGTTTAACGGCGCGGAGCCGCGGTCGTGTCGGTGGCATGAGCACCGACGCCAAGGCGCTCACGAAGGTACCGGTACTGGTCCTTGGGAAGAGCCTTCGTGAAAATGTCGGCGATTTGGTGTTGCGAAGGGCAGTAGACCACTTCGAAGACTTGAGCTTCAACGAGCTCTTTGACGAAGAAATGCTTGACGTCAATGTGCTTGGTACGCCCATGGAACTCGGGGTTCTTGGCGATTTTGATGGTGCTGAGGTTGTCCTCGTGGATCGGAATGGGATCCTTGAGGTCGTAACCCAGATCGAGGAGGAGGTACTTGAGGTACAAGCCTTCTTGGAGGCAGCTAGCGAGAGCTGTGTACTCCGCCTCGGTAGTAGAGAGAGCAACCGTGGGTTGCTTCTTGGCGAGCCATGAAATGGGGCTGCCATAGAAAAGGGTGAAATAACCGCTGATGCAGCGACGAGTGTCGGTGCACTTGGCGTAGTCAGCGTCGACGTACGCCTCGAGTGCGGGAAAGGAACTCGCAGAGAGACCACCAAGGGTAATGCCCATGGTGCGTGTACCGCGAAGGTACGCGAGAACATGCTGCACGGCACGGTAATGGCCAAGTGCAGGACTATTCAAATACTGGCTAAGCTGTTGGACGGCATGAGCCAGGTCCGGGCGAGTGCCAAGTACGAGGTACATAAGCGAGCCGACGGCAGACCGATAAGGAATGTAGGTCGCAAGCGTGGCAACCTTTTTCGGGTCCGAGTCCTTGTTGACGGACGATAGGTCCTGGTTCGGTTCAAGCGGCGTAGGAGCCCACTTGCCTTCGAGACAGTTGTACCGAGCGAGAAGCTCCGAGATGTACTTTGTCTGATGGATGAAGATGGTGCGGTTGCGGCGATCACGGATGATCTGCCAGCCAAGGATGAAGGCGACATCACCAAGGTCGCTCATCTGGAATTTGGCCTTAAGGACCGCTCGAATCTCATTGGCGATGGCACGCGTGGGTGCAAAGATCAAGAGATCATCGACGTAGAGACTGATGTAGACGAGACGTCCATCGTAGCGCTTGGTGAAGACACAGCGGTCTTTGCGCGTACGGGTAAAACCGATCGATTCCATGAACTGGACGAAGGTCTCGTACCAGATGCGTGGGCTTTGCTTCAGGCCGTAAAGGGCTCGGAGAAGTTGGCAAAGCAGCGATGGATCGGGTTGGTCAATCCCTGGAGGGAGCTTGACGAAGATGGCCGGGTCCTCAGGGAGGAGGCCGTTCAGGAACGCAGTTTTTACGTCCATTTGGATTATTTCGTAGTTTTCGAGCGCCGCAATCGTGAAGAGCAGACGGAGAACCTCCATGCGCACGACGGGGCTGAAAATTTCATCATAGTCGATCCCAGCCTTTTGGCGGAATCCCTGGACGACGAGACGCGCTTTGTAGCGGTCGATCGAGCCGTCAGCTTTGAGCTTGCGGGTGAATACCCACCGCGTAGGTAGGACTGTCACGGGACCGTTGCGTTGGGCACGGAGTTTCGAGACCATGCGCCACGTATTGTTACGAAGAAGAGATTTGTACTCCTCGTGAGCGGCAGCAAGCCAGTGCTCGCGCTCATGGCTGCGCATGGCTTCGGCCCATGTGGTGGGCACTGTGTCATCGAGATCGCCATGCTCGTCCATGTTGGCGAGGGCTGCATAGCCAGGTACGTCAGTGACTGCAACCGGGTCATCTGACTCAGTGGTCGAGACGAGAGCCAGTGGGACGACGATTTCAGGTGGCGAAATTGCCACGGGTGCAGTATGCACCGTAGAAAGTGCGTGCGGCCCGATCATTTCAGACGGAATGTCTTCATCGTCGTAGATGGGCGCAGATTGTGCACGGAAAGGATTGAGCAGCGCCGAAGGCGGCTGAGACTCGGAAAAATAGACTACATAAGTAGCTGAATCGAACGAGACGCGCTTGTAGCGGGTCTGTCGAGGGCGAGTTGCCTCCCAGTTTGCCCACAGCGCGTTGGCCTCCCCAATGGAAAGTGGGGGCATCTGGAATGACGTAAACGCCATGTTGTACGTTTCTGTATCGCCGATCTCATCAACGGACGTGAACCAAGGAACTGGCTCGTCTTGCGTTGACGGGTGAGTGAGATCGTTCTTGTCTGATTCCTGCGCCACCAGCGGAGGGACCGCTTGGGTGCTATGTAGACCGGAGTCACGCAGCAGACGAGTAGAGCTCAGATCCGCAGTGGAGGGCGGAGTCGGATGCGACTGCAACGACGAGGTCGAAGAGTTTGAAGAGCCAGCGACGCCGGAGTCGCCACTCGACCGGGGCCAGCGGTCATCCGAGTGGGCGCTCGAGCCTGGATGTCTTGCAGAAGGAGGACAGGTATCCGGCAGTAGGTCGTGTGTACGTTGCCGCGTCGGCAGAGCCGGGATTATAGGCGCAGTATCGCCACGAGTATGCGCAGAGATGCTAGCATCCTCCAGGGTTGGTGCGGAAACACTGCTGCCAGGCTCCGTGGGACTAGGAGTCGACCGAACGGAAGTTTGACCTGGTGGTGCTTGCACGCCCTGATGCATCGCGGAGACATATCGCGTAGCGTCAACAACGGGTGCATCCCGCGGACGAACCGCTAGGGTTGGGGCCTGTTGCGCCGCTCCTGGTAGAGCCGCTTCCAAGGGCTCGGGTGCCGAGGAAGTGGTCGCAGTCGAGCTATGGTCATGGACCGAACGCACAGGTGCAGACGTCGAGTCCAACGACGGTAAGGTCGTGGTCGGTAGTGGTGGCAGAACACCCACACGGGTAGGTGTAGGACCATTAGGATGGCCCTGCGACGCATCGGTGGTGCGGCGTGCCAAAGCGGCAGCCTCAATCGTCGCGATAGGGTAAAACTCATCTTCGCGGAAAATGACGTCGCGACTGTCAATGAGACGATGAGTCTCCGGGACCATCAACCGGAAACCCTGGCGATTGTGAGGAACGCCAATGTAGATGCAGCGCAGAGCGCGTGCTTCAAGTTTGTCCAAGCGTGCAGGAACTTGCACGTGGACCCAGGCAACACAGCCAAACACACGCAGGTATTGCAGTGTGGGGTGCTCCTTGTGCACCAAGAAGTATGGGGTCTGGCCGCCATTAGCTTCTGTCGGTGTAATGTTGATGAGGTACGTCGCGTGCTCGAGCGCAACGCCCACATGAACTTAGGGAGTACCGCCTCGATGAGCAAGGCGCGTACGCGAGCAAGCAAAGTGCCCATCATGCGTTCAGCGACGCCGTTTTGCTGAGGCGTGTAAGCGTTGGAATACACCATCCGGGTGCCATACTTGGCGTGGATGATGCGACCAAGCTTCTCATACTCGCGCGCATTATCGCCTTGAAGGAGGTTGATGTCGAAGAACTCCGAGTACTCCAGGTCAATAGGCTCGGCGCGGAAAAGAGCGCGAGCTTCAGCGCGAAAGATCTCGTAGATCTTGTAGATGTCAGTACGAGTCTGCAAGAGGTACGTCCACAAGTAGTGGGTCGCTTCATCGATGAAGACGACAAAGTACGTTGCACCCGACGGTGTCGGGATTTTGATAGGTCCCCACATGTCCGTGTGGACGCGCGCAAGCGGCGCGGTCGCACGTGGGGTAATCGAGTCCTTGGGAAATGGTAGGCGCTTGGACTTGGCTTGGATGCACACATCGCAGCTGTGCGACGGCATCCGTCCGGTGCCACGAAACGATTCCAACTCGGGATGATCGCGAATCATGGTACGCATAGCAGCGTCACCAATGTGGCCGAGTCTGCGGTGCAGCGGCTTTAAACACGAAAGTGGCTAGAGCACCATGTATTATTTCGGCACTGTGGTCGTTGACCGCAGCCAGACTGATAAAGTCATGGACGCAAGTAGGCGCCGCCGGGGTGTCGTGATCACCCTGAGAACCTAGAGGTAGGTCAGAGACGTCCGTGGGTGAAGATTCATCGTACATGTCCGCAAGAAAGGGAACAGTAGATGCTTCCGGACCATTCCAGAGAGCTTTTCCGTTGCGGAAACCATGAAGCTCATCGGAGAAGCGCTGCGTCGTAGCGGCAGCAATACCATGCTGGATGCTCTGGGCAACCGCAAGGATCGCACGATGGCCGTGGTACGGCATCGACGTTGTAGCAT